CTCACTTGTGTTCCTGGCTCCTCTTGGTTTTGCACAGAGCAGCCCCGATCCTCTTCTTCTGGGGTCCCTCACTGGTGCTCCTAACTCCTCCTCTTGGTTTTGCACAGAGCAGCCCCAATCCTCTTCTTTTGGGGTCCCTCACTGGTGTTCCTGGCTCCTCGTCTTGGTTTTGCACAGAGCAGCCCCAATCCTCTTCTTCTGGTGTCCCTTGTTGGTGCTCCTGGCTCCTCCTCTTAGTTTTGCACAGAGCAGCCCCGATCCTCTTCTTCTGGGGTCCCTCACTGGTGCTCCTGGTGGCCATTGACACAGACACGGTGGCTTGGCCCCTCCCCTGCTCCCCCATTACAGAATTGGTTTGACAGCAGTAGGAGCCAATGGCTCCCGCTGCTATCAATCTGTGCAGTGAGACGGGAGAGCACCTGCTCTCATGCACATTGCTAGATCGGGATTGGGCTCAGGTAAGTATAAGGTAGGTGAGTGGGAACATATGCAGCACATTTTAAATGCATTATATGCACAAACAATCCCTAAGGCTTTACAACCACTTTTAAGTAGCGGGGGTGTTTTTTTTTTTTTTTTTTCTTGAAGAATAAGGGTATTGTTTTTTGTCACTTTAACTTCAAACCACTCTCTCCAACTTCAAATACTTACCTTTTGGCACCTTCAGCCACCTGGAGGGAGATGTGGGAGCCCTCTAGTCGGGCTTACTCTGGGTTGAGGACTTTTTCCCCACTTCGATGTGACAGTGATGGCTCAGTCACCCAGCACTGTAACATGGCAGGCAGGTCACTGGTAGGGATATGTCCCTTTGCTTCTGTTGGCTAATCAGAATGGCAAGGTAAAGGTGTGCAGTTGGGGTGAGTTGAAGTGAAGTGAGCATTTCGCTCATGGGCAAAGCACAGGTTGACTTTTATGTATGCATTGAACCTTAGCTGTGTCAGGGAATGGGAAGATCGCCGCAGCAATCGAATCTGCACATGCGTAGAATCCTGAAAAACGTACAGGCAGGCGGGCACTAGGACCCAGGCGCGCCTGTCACAAATGACGGTGCTGAGCAAGCACTAGGACCCAGGAGCGCCTGTCAGGAGTTGGGCGGACTATTTAAACCTGGCTCTTGCAATGCTCAAGCGTGGTATGGTCTTATCTGTGTTACTGAGTTCCTGTGAGTAGATTGTTTGTTGCAGACCCTGCCTGATCCTGATTTGCTTTTCGTCTCCTGCTCTGATCCCTGGCTTTGTCTGACCATTCTACTGCTTAACCCCATATGTTCTGACCTCCTGTTGACGAACCCGGCTTGTGACCTGTTTATCCCTCTGCCTGCTGATTCTGTACTACATCGCCACCACTGTTACCAACCCGGCCTGCCCGACGCTGCTTCAGTTACCTCCTCACATCAGACTCTTACCCGCTATACACCTTCAACGGTGCCTCTACCACAGCTGGGTGAACCCAGGGGCCGCGACCTGGTCTCGGCCTGCTCCAAGTCCATCCCCACCATCAGGGGCTCTGGTGAACAAGCAGGTCGGAGCTTAGATTCCGCGCCTTGGGGGATTCCGGTCTGTGGAGTGCTAGAGGCTACCGCTGCAGGATCCCTGACAGGCTGTATCTTATCCATGGCCCACTCTACTTAAACCTGAGACCAAAAACTAACAACAGACCCTGAGGTCCACCACAGCTTTCAGAGGGAAGCTCAGGTTTGCGCACCAATTTCAGAGCTGGAAGTTGACATTTACATATTGAGCTCCCAGAGCAAGCAAAAACTAGGGGCATCTCTTAGAACCTGCTTCTAACTTAATAAACATCTTGAATAATTTTTCCATATGATGGCCTTATTTTATGCAATTTCTGTTTTATTGCTAAACCACCGGTGCATTAATTTACATGCATAATCGCAAAAATAGTTCAATAATTTGCAGGGTTATTTTACCGCAATGCAAGCCTGTCATGTATGGCATTGTCATTCTACCTCCTAGGGAATAATAGGGTTTTTTATATGCATTGTAAATCAAGGTAAATACTAGGTCAATTATTCTAGATTAAATAAATAGATGCAAATAGATACGTTTAGCATGCATAAAATCAGGGATTTAAAGGTGACTTTGTACAACTATGGATAGAGAAGGAGATAGAAGACACTGAGGGACAATATACGGGCTGATAGACAAATTGTGATTCAAGAACATGCTAAAGGAAGTGACCACCCTGGTCCCAGGTAAGCATGGTAGAAGGGATGTGGTGAAGATCTGAAGTCCCATGGGGTACCAGCATAGGATATAATGGATGCATGCTAGGTGCACCTTATCAAATTGTCACCATTTCCAAATTGTAAGATTAGATTAAGGACCTTTCTTACACAGTGACAAAATTGTCAATTTCTACATGCTTTAGCTAGTACTAGTCCCATGCAACTGGACTGTAATGTTGAAGAAATTTCACAGTTTCTCCAAGCCTCTTCTTCAGTTGTAGTTGAGTGTGAGGATGATACCCCAACATTTTATACCCACACCGGTAGAACCAACACCTTAATCCAGTCTCATTGAACATGTCCTGCTGATTGTCCAAGAATAGGACGGGAGATGTGAAAGTTGTCTGATCTAGTTACATAGTCCCTTCCCTGGTGTCATATAGTCTGCGTAGGTGTTAATCACTCGACTGGACTCACAAGGCTGAAGGTGTAAACTGCTGTCAAATCACTGGGGTGGACACCATCTGTTTTCCATAAATGATGCCGTTTAATATCACTGATTTGACAAAAGCTTACAATCCTCAAGCCAAAATGCTTTGGAGGCTCAAACCCCCCACCTCCCTTCCTCATCAGGGCTCAAAATGGTAGTCACTAGGGTTACATAGTTGGCAAGGTTGTAAAAAGACACCAGTCCCTCCAGTTCAGTGTATGTGTGTGTGTTTTTGTTTGTATTTACAACTCTACCATATTACCATATCACTGAATATTGTGTTCACTAAGATGCCCATCTAAACATTTTTTTTCCATTATTGACACTCCCCGCTGACACCACCAATTTTGGAAGAGAGTTTTACATCCTCATCCTTTTAACAGTAAAGCATCCCTTGCGCAGTTTGAAGTTAAACCACTTCTCATCCAACTTCATTAAGTGTCTGCGTGTCTTTCTAAGCAACTTTATACTGAAAAGTTTTTTCCCTATGCTAGAATCACCATTTAGATATTTGTGTATTGCTGTGCTATATCCTCTTAAGTGTCTGTTCTCCAGGGATGTTTGTAATCGTTCCTCGTAACTGAGCTCCTCAGCCCCCTTTTTAGCTTTGTTACCCTTCTCTGGATCCTCTTCAGTTTCAGCACATGAGAACTGGTGGCCTGAACTGGATGGCATATTTAAGAAATGGCCGAACCAGAGTTTTGCAAAGTTGTAGAATTATATTTTTATTTCTTGAGTAAATATCCTTTTTAATGCATGCTAACTAATATTGTTCTGGCCTTGCTTGCTGTAGCTTAGCGTTGTATGCTAATGTGGAGTCTGAATTACTAGGACCCTCAGATCCTTTTCCATCCTTGATTCCCCCAGAGGCTCTGCCCCAAAGGGGTGATTTCCATTCATATTTTTCTCCCCAAGTGCATTACTTTACATTTATCAATATTAAACCTCATTTGCCTCGTCATTTCCCACCCCTTTCTTTTTTTCAAGTTTCTATATCCTTCTGTGAAGTTAGCTTTGTATTCTCAGCAATCACTGAGATTGAACCTTTTATTCCAACCTTTTATATCATTTAAGAAAAAGATAATCAGAGTTGGTCCCAGGACAGAGCTCTGGGTCATCCCGCTCACATCTCTCAGACCATTCCTAAGATATGTTATTTACCACCACCCTTTGGACATGCACTGTAACCAGTTTTCTATCCAGGTACATACACTATCGTCAATGCCAAACGGCCTTGATTTGTAAATTGTTTATGGGGGCTAGATCAGTTGTTTTGGCAAAATTCAGATACATCATGTCCACAGGCCTTCCTCTATCCAAATTACAGCTCCTCGTAGAATGTTAAAAGGTTGCTTTGATGAAGAGGGTTCTGCTCTCGAAATGTGTAAACCTCACTCCTAGTTAATGGGCATCTTTGAATTGTTGCTATTGGATTGGTTACTGATTTCATTGATGTCTGATTGTACTTACCTTTGAGAGTATATTGGAATTATTTTCATTTTTATTAAAAGTTTTTTTTTGGCAATGCACAAGGCTGGTGTGCCCTCTCTTTTGTTCTTGTTGTGGCCAAAAGTGCTAAAAGGCAAGTCTGGCAAGAACAACCCTTCATACATCCATGCTGGTTTCTAATTGTCTATAAGGTGGTAAGCAGAATATTTCTAGGACTGTTGTGACAATAAAAAGGGGTCACATTGGTCTTGTAAACATTTACCCTGATGGCTGTGCTGTTTTGAGTTCTCCTAATTTCATACGGTATCTGAGCCCTGATGAAGGGGAAGAATTTTGAGCCCCCAAAATGCATTGGATGGTTTATGGTATGAACAAACTCTAATATTAAAAGATTTTGGACTGATATGTTTGATGTGACACTCTTATTTGAGTTTCGACATTAAGCATTGGGTCCCCTAGTTAAAGAGGTACCCTAGTTTTGTTAGACGTGGCCGCACCAGAGCCATTGTGCTCTGTATGAGTGAATGACTCCAAGCGGACTCCAGCGCCTCGTATAGACCACTGTCACTAATACAGAAAGTGGAAATCAGTATTTTATAGCTGCCTCTAGAACAGAAGGTGAGGGTAAACCTTTCCTTGGGGAAGCCTTACAAGGGACTTCCTTTCACTCTTGATAGAATTTCTCTGATTTCTTATTGCATCTCCAGGGTAGAAATTGAAAGGAAATCTCTCTAATAGAACCTCTCAAGTGGGGACACAGATAGAAACAAAAGCCTAACAAACCTTCCAGATGCCATCCAAAATTTTAAAAAATAAGTTTTGGTTGGTGTTCAATTTTTATTAAACCATTTTAAATATTGTCTTCATCTTCTACAGGAAATTACCATCCAGCAGGTCATGGCCCACTTGGACTCTATACGGAAAGACATGGTGATTCTGGAGAAAAGCGAATTTGCCACCCTCCGGGCAGAAAATGAGGTAATTGTACAAACATTCCTGTGTTCAAAATAATCAAGTGCACGGAAATATGTGTCCTTCTCTTTCCATACCTTCCTGAAAGCTGGCCTCCAGCCTTCTCTTTCCTTCATTAATGGTTTTCAACCCTCTTGCCGACATGTGAGTCGGCAAAGCCAGAGAATTATCGCAAGGTCACATCTTAAGTGGATTAGGTCCTGGCGGACTCTGTGCTGTTGTTGGTGACCTTGGCTTCACACTTTTTGAGTTTAATTTATATAATTATTTTTATTATAATTCATTTTTGGGGTCTCATAAATATATAATTTTAAAGCTGACCTCCAGCCTACCCTCTTGTACCGGCTCCTCATTTATACTGAAAATGCTTACTCTGATTTCACCCTGCTCTGCCGATCCCTCCATTGGTTTCCGCTCACCCAACAATTTAAATTCAGAATACTAACAACAACTTACAAAGCTACTTCACAACTCGGCCCCCAGCTATATCATTAACCTAGTCTCAAAATACAAACCTAATTGTTTTCTTCATTCCTCCCAAAGACCTCCTGCTCTCTAGTTCCCTTGTCACCTCCTCCCATGCTCGCCTCCAGGACTTTTCCAAGCCTCTCTCATCTTTTGGAAATCCCTACCCCAATCTGTGCGACTATCTCCTACTCTATGGTTTTTTACTGATGTTTATTTTTCAAAGGTGATAGCCTACTCTCATGGGGTACATCAGACACAACACAAAATCTCCAGCTTTCTGCCCAATGTTTCCAAGGGCGTCAGTGTGATTTGGTTGTTCAATTGGAACTAAATTCTGCAACACTTACAAGTCTTCCAGTGATGCAGCATCCACTAATTTCCTTGCCGGTGTTGACATCTTTGTTATTTGTCTTTGCTTAGGCATGCCCACTGGAATGAATTTGCACCACCATCGAGACACACTGGGAATGTATGCTAAGCATGTGCATGTATTGCCAGACAGTAGACACACAACATATAGACACAGACTATGTGCATGATGCAAGATATGGTCAGAGACTGCAGACATGATACAACAGATTGTCAAAGACTGCAGACACGATACAGGAGATGGTCAGAGACTGCAGACACGATACAGGAGATGGTCAGGGACTGCAGACACGATACAGGAGATGGTCAGGGACTGCAGACACGATACAGGAGATGGTCAGGGACTGCAGACACGATACAGGAGATGGTCAGGGACTGCAGACACGATACAGGAGATGGTCAGGGACTGCAGACACGATACAGGAGATGGTCAGGGACTGCAGACACGATACAGGAGATGGTCAGGGACTGCAGACACGATACAGGAGATGGTCAGGGACTGCAGACACGATACAGGAGATGGTCAGGGACTGCAGACACGATACAGGAGATGGTCAGGGACTGCAGACACGATACAGGCGATGGTCAGGGACTGCAGACACGATACAGGCGATGGTCAGGGACTGCAGACACGATACAGGCGATGGTCAGGGACTGCAGACACGATACAGGCGATGGTCAGGGACTGCAGACACGACACAGGCGATGGTCAGGGACTGCAGAGACGATACAGGCGATGGTCAGGGACTGCAGAGACGATACAGGCGATGGTCAGAGACTGCAGACACGATACAGGAGATGATCAGGGACTGCAGACACGATACAGGAGATGGTCAGGGACTGCAGACACGATACAGGCGATGGTCAGGGACTGCAGACACGATACAGACGATGGTCAGGGACTGCGGACACGATACAGACGATGGTCAGGGACTGCGGACACGATACAGGCGATGATCAGGGACTGCGGACACGATACAGGCGATGATCAGGGACTGCGGACACGATACAGACGATGGTCAGGGACTGCGGACACGATACAGACGATGGTCAGGGACTGCGGACACGATACAGGCGATGGTCAGGGACTGCGGACACGATACAGGCGATGGTCAGGGACTGCAGACACGATACAAGAGATGGTCAGAGACTGCAGACACGATACAGGCGATGGTCAGGGACTGCAGACACGATACAGGCGATGGTCAGGGACTGCAGACACGATACAGGCGATGGTCAGGGACTGCAGACAGGATACAGGAGATGGTCAGGGACTGCAGACACGATACAGGCGATGGCCAGGGACTGCAGACCCGATACAAGAGATGGTCAGAGACTGCAGACATAATGCAAGAGATAGTCAGAAAGATGTGGTATAATTATAAACATGATGAAAAGAAGATTTCAGGAGCACAAATGTTTTCTTTGTGCTGGAATTGGGACTGCTGTAAGGATTAAGGTGCAAGAATATAATGTTAAGGGTTATGTTTTAGGATTCAGGTGAAGAGAACATTTAAGGGTCAACCAAGGGATCAGGTTTAGGTGGAGGGTGTAGGGGGGATACTTTGTTGATGGATTCATCATTGAAAACCCCCTATGGCAAGAAGCACATAAAACCAAAATCTATCAATTGTCTCCAAAAACACTTTCCACACTATAGATGTTTTGCTGTGTATTTGTGTTGATGCCTCTAGTGCCTAGATCAGCCGATCTCAAACTTTTTACCCTGAGGAACCGTTGAGATAATTTTCAGGCCCTGGGGAACCCCTGCTAAAACCAACTCACTGGGTGGTCGGGGGGGGGGGGGGGAAATGTCTATTGCATTGGTGGTCAGTTTGGAAAAATGCCCCCTAACAACAGTGGTCAGAATGCCACCCTAATGGTTAGCTAAATGGACCACTGGTGTCATGCCGCTGACTCTGCCAGGTAGCAATGGCCCCGGAACTATGCAGGACCAGCAAATGGAAGGTCAATCAACCACAGCATATTGAACCCCTAGAAATCTCTGGAGTAATCTTTTTTTTTTTTTTTTAACATGGAGTAACCCTTGAAATAACTTTCCAGGCTCAGAGAAGTCCTGCTAATATTTCTACATCTCATGGTACTGGAATGATGGTCACTGGGAAGAATGCTCTATGCATTTGTGGTCATTGGCAAGAATGCTCTGCTTGCAGATAGCTAAAACGATCATTGGTGTCAGTGGTTACTGATAGGCAAAAATGTCCGCTTCCCCAAAGAACCACTAGCAACCTCTGGAGGAACCTTAGGTTGACAAGGGCTGGCTTAGATAATTAAAGCCCCTTTCTTTCCAGGTCTTATCTTAAGATTTTCTTATCTGTTACTTTGTAGAAAATGAAGATTGAACTGGAGCATGTCAAGCAGCACCTCCTGGTAAGTAGTTCAGTGGGTCAGAAAAGTGTGCAAGTGGCACGATCTGTATGGAGTCATATGTAACATGGAGAGGTCTACCCCTTGGTCTTCCTTCTCAGTTCTGGTGACCAGGGGATGCCATTTACTTGCAGCACTCCTGCAGATGGTGTTTACGTCCGTTCCGGCGAATCTGGACCCGGGCTGCTCGTTTTTTTTTTAAAAAATGAAACTGAACATACGCGGTTGTAAATGATTAAACGCTCCTTTGCATCCATTTGTCCATAGAAGTAAATTTCTATCCATTTTCCATCCCTCAATAGACAGAAGAAAAATGAACAGATGGAACACCTGTGTGAAGGGGTCTTATTCTGTGAGGCCTCTGCTTTCCTAAAATATATCATGTTTTGGGGGTTTGTGCGTTTTTCATGTAAGAAAAAAAAAAACCACATTTTAGCGTGTGTGTGCGTGAAATGGGGGCAAAAAACGATTTCTGATTGTGCTCTTACTACTTTAATATCCTCATTAAAGATTAATAAGGATATTAAAGTAAATTGGGCAGCACAGTGGCTAAATGGTTAGCACTTCCACCTGGCAGTATTAGGGTCGTTGGTTCAAATCCCAGCCACGGCACCACCTGCCTGGAGTTTGCATGTTCTCCCTGTGCCTGCGTGGGTTTCCTCCGGGTACTCCGGTTTCCTCCCACACTCCAAAGACATGCTGGTAGGTAATTGGCTCCTGTCTAAATTGTCCCTAGTATGTGTATGTATGAATGTGAGTTAGGGACCTTAGATTGTACACCCCTTGAGGGTTAGGGACTGATGTGAATGTACAATATATATGTAAAGTGCTGCGTAAATTGATGGCGCTATATAAGTACCTGAAATAAATAAATAACTCCACTTTTGTTGAGAAAATAAATGCTCCCAGTTGGGGCTCTATGTACATTGCAAGTATTTTAACAAAACTTTGTTATTCTGAATAAATAGCTGTTTGTGTCCATGGGCGAGTGAATCTGTATGGGAGTGATTCTATAGTTATCAATCAGCTGCTGCACCTGCAGGGCTCTAATGAGGAAAGTGGCAGGGTCTGCGTTCCTTTAGACATGATTTCACTTTGGAAATACCTCACCAAAAATTATATTTCTGTTGCAGGGGATGCCAAAAATCTGGCTTGCATCTTAGTGCAGGCTTCTGGGAAAATCAGTAAGCCAATCACACAAGCAGGAAATTACATTTTAGTAGGCTTTCTGTACACCATCTGTGTACAGAATGCCTCCAGGTCGCCATATTGCACTTTGCAGAAAATTACAGCGCTGCAGATTGAAAAGGAAAGGTCATTTTTAGTAACATTTAACTACAATATGACTTGAGTCGCAATTGGATGCGCTATTTGTATTTATTTTTTGCTATTTTTTTTCCTCACAAAAGTGGAATTCCCCTTTAAAGCCTGGCTCCAGGCATGAGCAAAGAAAAAACCCTTTGCAGTGGGGCCTCCTCCTTGCTGCAAGGGTTAATGCTCATTAGATCTGGGGGGACGACGACAAAAAAGATGTACTATTTTCCTTTCAATCTGTATGAACAGTGCTCTTCACTTGCCCTCCACCCTATAGCAGAAGCACAGCTGCAGGGCTGCGCAAAAATCACATGTGGAGTATTTTGGTTTTGTGCTGCCCTAGGCGAGACTAAAATTGGGCACCCCCCCATCTAAATTTGTCCTACCCCTTCCTGTTTAAGATCCACCTCTTCAGGACAGGAGCATGATGGAGGACAGCGTGACATGGGGGGGCACGGGATAGGAGGGGGGCAGCATGATGGGGGGGGCAGCATGTTGGGGGGGGCATTGGGACAGGTGGGGGTAGCAGGACAAGAGGGGGGCAGATTGACAAGGGGAGGGCAGGGTGATGGGTGGGGGCAGCTTGACGGAGAGCTGCATGTTGGGGGACAGCATGATGAGTGGGAAGGCAGGGAGACAGGTGGAGGGCAGCGTAAAGAGGGAGCAGCGGCACAGGAGGGGGGCAGTGGGACAGTGGACAGGGCGGGGGAAGCGTAACAGGTGAGGGGCAGCAGGAAATGAGGGCAGTGGAACAGGTGTGGGGGCAGCATGATAGGGGGCAGAATGAAGGATGGGGGGCAATAGGACAGGGGGAGGGAAGTGTGAAAGATGGTGGGAAGTGTGTCGGGGAGGGGGGGCAGTGAGACAGGAGTGGTTAAGCAGCAGTCCTCCAAGCTCTTACCTGTCTAGAATTGGCTCCTCTAGATGGTGTCAGGATCACTCCAGGAGGGGTGCCTGTGTCCCATCTCCCCCAGGATCTCCGGCGGCAGCTGAAAAAAAAAGCTGGGGGGCTCCTCCACCCTGACCTCATTCTCTTATTCTTCCTCCTCCACAGGCCCTCCGCTGACACCTGCTGGTCATGCTGCACATCCCAGCACACACTGACAGCGGGCCCCGGCCCTCACGCGCGCTCCCAGCACACACTGGTGATCTGCCCTCCTCTGCAGCCGGTCCCTTGGCCCGGGTCACCCTAAGTGTGTGTCGGCTTGGCTGTACCCCCACCACCTATGGCAGCCTGGCTGCTGACACACAGTGTCCCTTCTTCCTCGGTGGCGGCGCCGTCCCCACCCCGTATAATGCCGCCTTCTTTGTGTCACGGCAGGTATGCCCCTGTATATACGTGATTTGCATTTCCGGGTAGGAGGCGCGCAATTGGCTGCTGGGAATGTTTATCACCGCATCCTGGCCAGCGATTCCTGGCTGGGAGTCGGTGATCGTCGGTAGGGCTGAGAGGGAGAGGTCTGTATGTAAACAACACAGATCTCTCTCCTGTCAGCATGGACATGCTGCTTTGTATCTCTGCACAGCAGAGAAAATACACAGCAGCATGTCTCCCAAGTAAAACACACACACAGCACTATGTTAGCCCTTTGATTGTCCCAGATATTAACCCCTTCTTGCCCAGTGTCATTAGTACAGTGTCAGTGATCACTGTGTCACTGGGGATGTCAGTGGTAGTTCCCCCCCATCCCCCAGTGTCAGAATGCACCCCGCAGTCCTGCTATAAGTCGCTGATCACCTCTCCATTGCTAGTATAAAAAAACTAAAAATGAAAACCCTAGTGTGTGTGTATGTGTATATATATATATATATATATATGTCGCCATTTGTAGACGCTAAAACTTTCATGTAAACTAATTAATATACACTTGCTGGGAATTTTTTTTTTTTTAGCAAAGACACAGAGCAGAATATATTTTAGCCTAAATTTATGAAGAAATTCGATTTTTAAAACATTTTATTTTTTACTGGATATGTTTCATAGCAAAAAGTCAAAAATATTGGGGGGGGGGGGGGTTCGAAATTTTCAGTCTTCTGTTTATAGTGCACAAAATAAAAGCGCACAGGCGATCAAATACCAAGAAAGAAATCTCTATTTGTCGGAAAAAAGGACGTAAACTTCATTTGGGTACAGCGTCGCATGACCGTGCAATTGTCAGTTAAAGTATAGCAGAGTCGTATCGCAAAAAATGGCCTGGTCAGGAAGGGGGGGGGGGGGGGGGTAAATCCTCTGGAGGGCAAGTACTTACGGCATTCCGGCTAGTGGTCACACTCTGACGTCATCATGTACCGATAGCCCTTGTACATGAGGATGGTGAGGCCTCACCCACACTCAGAGCGTTGGAAAGAAGAGCTGTGGCGGCCAGGGAAGCAAGGAAGAAGGGAAGTATTGCAACCTTTCCCTGAACCCCTACACTTAGCGAGCATTTAACCCTTGCAGTGCACAGGGTCCCACTGGTTTTTTTGTTTTGTTTTTTTATTGTTTTTTTTGTATTTGCTGGAGTTCAGCTTAAAAACTTGATGAGAAGATTGTGGTAGCCACAGTTCCAAAATCTATTTTTGTTGATCTGTATTTATGTTCTCCTCCTTTTATAGAATGAAACAAACCAGATCCGGGCCGACACGAAACTGGACATAAACCTGGAGCGCAGCCGTCTGACGGACTTGGTAATGAGCCCCCCCCCCCCCCCCCCCCGGCATGTACCCATTGAAAGCTGCTTGGTGTACATTCATCACATGTCTCTGCTGCCATCCGGTGGTTACAGGCAGCAGTGACAATGTAAAATGTTCCATTGCTGTGCAGTATTTATTTTCCTGAGCACAGATGAGCTGTTCTCTAGAAAAGAGGCAATTTCGGCAATTTTTCCTAACATGCTCCATAGTAAAAACTGTTCCTGCGACCGAACCGCTAAATGCCTTATCTGCCAGTTCAGTTAGTCTGGTGATTATCAGTACTGGCAGTGCGACATTCAGATGACATTAATGCCTTAAAGTGTTACTAAACCCACAACAGTAACATCAGTCTGTAGATGCAGTAAAGCATGCTTGTTATACTCACTGTGGAACCTAAGGGGTTAATCCTCTGCATTGTGCAACAAGGCTGTTTGATCTTGTCTTTTTTGATCCTCCCCTTCTTCTACTGCCCCCAATCCATCTGCTGACAGAACAGAGCCTTCGGGGCAAGCTGCACATACTCAGTTTGGTGTGTGTTGCTAGAGTTTTGTTGTTTTTTCTTTTTTTTGCCTTGGGAGCGGGCATGTGATCAGCACAGGGCAAATCAGCACTGTCCAGACAGAGGGTCAGGGGTTATGCAGCCTCATTGGACAATCAAGGGAGAATTAAAACTTCTCCTTCAAGCTTTGGTTGTTTTGGGATTTTTTTGTTTGATTATTTGGGTTCACTTTTATTAGTATATGTTTAGGGTTCACAATATAAAACAGTAAAAAAAGTGAGCGCTCTCTAATAATCAGCTATAGCACTCAAGGCAACCAATATAAAACCTTATTCAAACATAGAAAAAATAAATAAAAGTGCAGCGCTAAGAAAAATGATAAAATGATATGATCATTCGTCCTGTATGCAAAATTAGCAATAAGTAGTCATGAATAAATAATGACCAATATCTTAATATTAGAGGTGATGGTCTGTACAGATATAAATTCTCAGATATAAATTCCGGTCAAAAATAAAGGTGACAGTCTGTGCAGATATAAATTCTCAGTAAGGATCCAGTGGTGGTGCTCCGAATAGTGTAGTAAAATTACACACTCACCAGATGCGTAATGGTGAGTGCGTAATTTTTTATATGTTTAGGGTTATTTATTTACATATTGGAGTTTTCTTGTGGACATTTTATTCATTTCTACATTCCTCGGCTCATCTGTGGTGAATAGAAACACAGTACACTGAGCCTTAAGGTGAGCTCTGGTGCATTTTTCGGCACCCAGAGACTCCAGGAAATGGAAAATATTTTTTTCTTCTTTTGCCTTTGCAGTGATTGGAGTTGACCCAACGCAGGGTGGCCCCTAGTGTGACTGGGCCCTTACCACACTAGATGGCTCATTTGCTGTGTATTATACACTCTCCCCTTGTTTCCAACATCTGTAAGATGCCAGGTATTGGTGATGATGTAAATACTATGAAGTTGCATCATTAGTGGCCACCCAATGGCTGGAGAACACACCTGGGAACCTGGAAGGAGGAGCGGTGGAGATGGGGTGGAGGGGACAGAACCTGCATCTCACAGGGGTAGAGCACACTTGTAAGGCAAGTGTGCTATAATGTACAAGTCTGCTATGTATACATGCATATTGTGGCCAACGCCAACTCAACACGGTTTAATACTGCTTGAAACCTACCAACAAGTTGCAGTTGGATTGTAGAGTTTATGGTTGGAGAGCTGGAGGGAAGTGTCAATGGACTATGAGTGCTGGGTAATCACCACACTTGTGCTCCATTGAGAACAGCAAGTCCATCTTCTGTGGTGTCAGCTGGTACATGTAGTTTATTTATTTGCAGATCTCTGTAAATAAGTGATGCGGCTGTACAGGCAGAGCCACGCCAGTTTCACATCTGATAGCTGTTGCAGGGTAGAAGAACCCCTGCATGCTGTCAGAGGGGGGGTACGTTTTGGGGGTGGAGGGCGGTTCGTTGGGCACTATTTTACCCTTACACCCTAAATACTTGTGTAATATGTAACTTGCAACCATTCCCGACCCTCGGCGTTGCCGTTATATAAACCCCGGACGGTGGCAGTGCAGACAGGTGGCCGTTTATAAACGGCCTCCCCGCACCCTGCTTGTGCGCGCTCCCTCGGAATACACCGCGCATCCGGTGTGTAATGTCCTCCGAAAACAGTGTACGGGACCTCTGTGCGAGGTCCCGATCATCAGTGATTGGCCAATCAGTGATCACATGCAAAGTAGTAAGCAATGATGTCACTTGTGACATCATTGCTTACTACGTATGAAATCTGTGAATGATCACAGAGGTCACATGGTACAAGGCTATTCACAACAGCCTTGTACCATGTGACAAGCTGTGACCAATCACAGCTCACTCAGTACTTCTCAATGAGTGCAAGAATGCAGACAGAGAGAAAGAGAAATGATTGCTTTTACATCCTATATGGGTGTAAAAGCAATCAGTGTAAAAAAAAAAAAAAAAAAAAAAAAAAAAAAAAAAAAAATTCTTCTTCACCCCCCACAAGTAGTACAGTGTCACCATGGCGACACTGTACTGCTAGGGTGACAGTATGTAAAAAAAAAAAAATTAAAATAAAAAAAAATTAAAAAAAATAATAATAATAAAATAAAAATGTTTAAAAATTTATAATTTTTGGTTATAAACTAATTTGGATTTTTTTTTTTTTACTAAAAAGATAACGGAATAAATTTTGGCAAAGATTTATGATGAAATATTATTTTATTTGCAAAATTTTATAAAAAAAAACATTTTTTAAAAAATCCCAGCGGTGAGTAAATACCACCAAAATAAAGCTTTATCTGTCTCAAAAATATGGTAAAAAATTAATTTGGGTACAGTGGTGCATGACCGCGCAATTGTCATTCAAAGTGTGATAGCACTGAAAGCGGAAAATTGCCCTGGTCAGGAAGGGGGTAAAAATGTCCGGTCAGGAAGTGGTTAAAAGTGGCGATGGCCTTTATATCTGTTTTCTCCCTGTAAGCAGGAAGAGTTCTAAAGTTAAAGCCACCACCGCAAAACCAACTGATTGATATATAAGAGATAGCGGTGTAATCAGTGAGATGTTTCAGCTGCTAAACTTCAGGAAATGAGATAAAAAATCACAGCTGTGTTGGATCTGCCAGTCCACCAAGATGCAGGACAACCACAGACAAAAAGGAAGGGGATCCGTGTGTGATAACATGAAAACCTTCATTTTTCAGAATTTGACATGGTTATCTTTTAATGTCCAAATGGAGATAATTTCTACTTTTCCTTTAGTTTTATTCTGTTGTTTTTTGTTTTTTTTTTTAATTTCCATCAAAATATGGTACTGTTCATGCAGATAAAAACATCTTTGTTATATCTTAGTTTACAGATCAAGAGAAGAAGCTGATGGAAGCCAGCACAGAATTCCATAAAAAGGTGATGATGGATAATATTGATCCCCTTGAAATATTAACAGAATTAAGGTTTATTGGTCCTTTTAACCACTTCAGGATTTTACTCTTTGGACGTATTATTATTATTATTATTATACAGGATTTATATAGCGCCAACAGTTTGCTCAGCACTGTACAAAATGAAGGCAGACATTACAGTTACAATACAATTTGGTACAAGAGGAAACAGAGGGCCCGGCTCCTGGGAGCTCCAATCTAGGAGATCTCTTACAGTGAGCCTTACTCCCCCTGCCACCACTTCCACTGTTATCTAATCCAGTATGCTCAATCCGCAGATCCGATCCATTGTGTGGGGATCGTCGGAGAGGGGTGTCACCAAGTGCTATCGCACCAGGTGACACCAACCCTAGGGACGCCCCTGCGGATATACGTCTCCCTCGTATCGCCCTTCTTTCCTACTTTCTCCTCTTTTCCCCTTTTGTCTTTCTCTAGCGCTCTTTTCCTTTTTTTTTTAACCTTCGTTTACTCTTTGCTATTGGAATTTCGGCAGATTCAGAGAAATCAGACAAAATTCTAATAGTGGGTGGCCTTGTTGGCTGGACAAAAGTAGATTACTCAATTAGCTTTCGTCAAAGGAGGCGGGGTGAAAATTGTCACCCAACTGAAAAAAATAACAACTCCTACACTGATCACAAAACAAAATAGTAAATTACACATATACAAAGATCAAACTGTTTTTCTCAGCCATATAATTCCTTCACCTGTCCCATGTTGCTAGATGTTGATACTGGTGATATTGTAGAAAATGAACCATTTTCTTGGTGTTAACCACTTCCCGTCTGGCCCATGAAGATCTGACCGTAGGTGGGTGTGGGTACCTGTCAAAACTAGGTACCCGCTCCCCCCAAAAAAGTGTGGGAGTGGATGGGGTAGGGTTGCAAACAAGCAGAACTTTCCCATTTGGGGGAAGTTCTACTTGAACCACTTCCCATCCAGCCCATGTAGATAACCGGCCCGACGGGAGCACTGCCGATGCGGGTGGACGTTTCTAAACGTCCCCTCGCATCCCCTCCAACAAAATCCATGTAGCTGGAAAAGGTACTTTACTCAAAGTAATAAAGTGATTTGGTAATGCTGCTGATCCATGCTTTGCGTTTGCCCAGCACAACCTAACATAATGCGGAATGGAATCGCTTTATGTCTGCTTTGTACATTTTACAGAGTACGACTACCGATGGAGACATCACAGAGATCCACAAGAAGATTGACATAGACATCGCTTCTCTAAAAAAACCCTCATGGAGTCCCATAAACTGGACACCGTCCGTTATTTAGCTGGTAAGAAGACTTGTCTACCCAGATTGTTCATTCCGTTTCATGTTTTGTTATCTGTAAAGGTTGAGATTGAAAGTTTAAGCTCTTCCCGCCATCAGCCACTTTAGTGACACTGTGCTACTTGGGGGGGGGGGGGGGGTGGGGGGGGGTGATGAAGATTTGTTTTTTCTTTTTTTACACTGATTGCTTTTACCCCCATAAAGGCTGTAAAAGCAATAATTTCTCCTCTCTTGCTGCATTCCTGCAGCCATTGAGAAATACTGTGAAAGCCGTGATTGGTCACAGCTTGTCACATGGTACAAGGCTGTTGTGAATAGCCTTGTACCATGTGACCTCTGTGATCATTCACAGATTTCACACGTAGTAAGCAATGATGTCACAAGTGACATCTTGCTTACTACTTTGCATGTGATCACTGATTGGCCAATCAGTGATCACATGAGTACAGAGGTCCCGTCCGACAATCGGTGTTTCACTGTGTCCGGAGGACACAGCGGGCACCGGATCGCGGTGCTGCGTGCTCCCAAGGAGCGCGCACAAGCAGGGTGCGGGGAGGCCGTTTATAAACGGCCACCCGACCCTGCAGTGCCACTGTCCGGCCGTTTATATGCAACGGCCAGTCGGGAAGTGGTTAAACCAGTGTGATTTTGCTATAGATTTGGCCAATCAGTGATCACATGAATCGGGACTTCGCACCGAGGTCCCGTACAGCAATCTGTGTTCCGCTTTGTCTTTCGTACACAGCGGGCACCGGATCGTGGTGCCTCGCGCTCCCAGGGAGCGCGCACAGGCAGGGAAGCGGGAGGACGTTTATAAACGGCCACCCACTCCTGCACTGCTCCCATCCGGCCGTTTACATGGGCCGGACGTGAAGTGGTTAAAAAAAATTTCAAAACCCACCAATTTATTCTCTAGGGTCCCTGCTTTAAAAAAAATATGATGTTTGGGGGTTCTAAGTATTTTTTAGGGAGAAAAAACCTGATTGTTACATGTAAACAAAAAGTGCCAGAAAAGTCCTGGTCCTTCAGTGGTTGAGTGTGTTTCATTTTCTTCTCAAACGCTCCTCTCCTGAACGTACAAGAGATGTGTTTTTTTTGGGGGGTTTTTTATCCTCTAAATGCTTATGTCTGCATGGACACACGGGCTTACACAGAGGGGTCATTTAGAGGCAGAAAAAAAAATGCCAAACGCCTGTAAAAGTGGCATTTTTGACATGCAGTGTTCATGAGTCCCAAGTCATAAAAAAGACTGAAGGCGTGGAGAAGTAAAGAAGTCAATCCAAGTGTCCCATGTCACCACAAAGCTGGTCTGCAGGTCAGTTGTTCATTCATCCTCATATTGTGGCTCACTCCCGAACGCGTAAGATGGTTGTCAATGTCAGGTACCGAGGGATCAGAACCCTATCTACGGAGAGAGAAATCCCAAAAGGCCTTTCTTTTTGTTGCATTAAGGGGCCCTGGGATGATGGAGAGCAAAAGCCACCGCCAGAGCCTTCACCAATGATTTGGTTGCATATTAACCACTTCCTGTCCGGCCCATGTAAATAAACAGTCGGGCGGTGGCAGTGCATGGACGGGTGTCCATTGATAAACAGCCCCCCACCCCCTGCTTGTGCGTGCACCCTGGGAGTGCGCAGCATCGCAATCCGGTGCCCACTGTGTCCGGAGGACACAGAACATCGACCGTTGTGCAGGATCTCTGTGTGAGGTCCTGATCATGTGAACAATGATTGGCCAATCAGTGATCACATGAATAGCAGTATGCAAGATGTCACTTTTGACATCACTGCTTACTATTTGTGAAATCTGTGAATGATCAGAGGTCACATGGTACAAGGCTGTTCACAACAGCCTTGTACCATGTGACAAGCTGTGACCAATCACAGCTCACACAGTATTTCTCAATGGCTACAAGAATGCAGCCAGAGAAAAGGAGAAATGATTGCTTTTACAGCCTTTATGGGTGTAAAAGCAATCCGTGTTAAAAAAAAATCTTTATAACCCCCCACAAGTAGTAGTGTCACTATGGTGACACTGTACTGCTAGGGTGACAGTATGTTAAAAAAAAAACATAAATAATATTATAAAAAAATAAAATAAAAATGTAAAAAAAGATTTAGAAAAATTATAATTTTTGGTTATAAACTAATTTGGGTTATTTTTTTTACTAAAAAGATCACAATAAATTTAGGAAGAAATATTATTTATTTGCAAAATTTTGGGACTTTTTTCATTTATATAGCAAAAAAAATAAAAATCCCAGTGGTGAATAAATACCACCAAAATAAAGGTTTTATCTGTCTCAAAAAAATGCTAAAAAATGAATATGGCTACAGTGTTGCATGACCTCGCAATTGTCATTCAAAGTGTGATAGCGCTGAAAAACGCCCTGGGCAGGAAGGGTGTGAAAGTGTCCGGACATGAAAGGGTTAAGAAAATGATTCTTCAGTAGGGTCGAATATAGTGGCATGGTATCCTCCTCCCTTCCACACCTCCAATAATGATTGGAGATCAGCACAGGTGTCTTTTAGGACCTGATTGGTTCACTTTCCAATTCAGACGTGTGTATAATACCATTCCTATATGAACAGTGCAGGGTTTGCAGGTGTTGGAGCTGATCCGAGCGCCGCTCACTACAGCCAAGCCATGGAGTTGGTTATAAACAAGCAAGTTTGCATGAGTGTGGGAATCTTTTGTTGCTTGCTTAGATTTTCTTGCATGTTGGACAGTTTTTGACCAGTGTTAAAGGTGCCCCATATAGAAATGTTCAATCTTTCACCGTGCATGCAGTGGGGTTAAAGTATCAGGTTCACCCATGGTGTGGTCACAGGATCATCCACCTTTACTGATAATGAGAGATCTTCCAATCCAAGATTCCTCTGGCAGAGGAGGACTGGGAACCATGGGAGGCAATCACAGCCAACTAACCCTTTCATGGTGGGGACACATCTCTGTGAACCATGGTGCCCAAGTTCATTGGTGGAAGGGAAGGTGGGTGCTAAAGCGGAACTTCACCCAAATGGGGAAGTTCCACTTGTTTGCAACCCTACCCCATCCAGTCCCACACTTTTTTGGGAGGTGCGGTCACCTAGTTTTGACAGGTACCCCCACCCTCCTACATGGGCTGGATGGGAAGTGGTTAAAGTAGAACTTCACCCAAATGGGGAAGTTCCACTTGTTTGCAACCCTACCCATCCAGTCCCACACTTTTTTGGGAGGAGTGGGTACCTAGTTTTGGCAGGTTCCCACATCCTCCTACATTCATTTCTCTGCGGCGATGTTCGGCCCCTCCTACTTCCCACCCCCACAGCCTTCTGGGACACATCACAGGTCCCAGAAGACGGTGGGACCATTCATAAAGTGCAGTGACTCGCGCAGTAGGAAACCTGTGGTGAAGCCAGAAGGCTTCACTGCAGGTTTCCCTTACCTTAGATGGTGGCGCCTGCACTCAAAGCCATTTGAAGAATTGGCCTGGGTGAGGACATCACATGATCCCTGGGCAGGTAAGTGTCCTTCTATTAAAAGTTGGCAGCTACAGTATGTTTAGCTGCCGACTTTTAATTTTTGGGGGGGGGAGACTGGAGCTCCTCTTTAGGGACATGGTTCATTATGACACACCTGTTCATGTCTTCCACCATCGGCTTTCTTTTCAACAATCCTCCTCCTTCAGTCATATGACATCTCAGAGCACTAAATGAAGTCCATACCCGAAGACTCCACAAGTCTAAAGAGGGTAATAGGTAGCTATATAATGCCCCCTATGTGTCACTGACTGTTGGTGCTGCTCTGATCAATATCTGAATAATACATTCTCTCCACTCAGTACCACCAGCCCAACTACTGACCTGGGGGAAATCCAATCCTCCCCTTACCCTACCTAAACCAAGTAATTTCAACACTGTATTTACCTTTGCTGTTGGTCATAAAAAGCGGATTTTTTTTTTTTTATTTACCTTAACCACTTGCTGTTTTTAAACGGCAGGGCGGTGGCACGCCAGGGGCAGGTTGCTGTTCATAAACTTTCTAGTTGTGCGCGCTCCCAGGGAGCACGCAGCACCACGATCCGGTGCCCGCTGTGTCCTCCGGACACAGTGAAACACCGATCATCGGACGGGACTTCTGTACGAGGTCCCGATCATGTGATCACTGATTGGCCAATCAGTGATCACATGCAAAGTAGTAAGCAAGATGTCACTTGTGACATCATTGCTTACTACATTTGAAATATGTGAATGATCACAGAGGTCACATGGTACAAGGCTATTCACAACAGCCTTGTACCATGTGACAAGCTGTGACCAATCACAGCTCACACAGTATTTCTCAATGGCTGCAAGAATGCAGACAGAGAGAAAGAGAAAGGATTGCTTTTACAGCCTTTATGGGTGTAAAAGCAATCACTATAAAAAAAAAAAAAATCTTCATCACCTCTCACAAGTAGTACAGTGTCACCATGGTGACACTAGACTGCTAGGGTGTCGGTATGTAAAAAAAAAAAAAAAAACATAAATAATAATATAAAAAAATAAAATAAAATGTAAAAAGAAAATGTTTAAAAATTATAATTTTTGGTTATAACTAATTTGGCGTATTTTTTTTTTTTTTTTTTACTAAAAAGATAACAGAATACATTTTGGCCAAGATTTATGATGAAATATTATTTTTTTGCAAAATTTTATAAGAAAAACACTTTTTTTTTCAAAATTTTTGGACTTTTTCATTTATATAGCAAAAAAGATAAAAATCCCAGCGGTGATTAAATACCACCAAAATAAAGCTGTATCTGTCTTAAATAAAATGGTAAAAAATTCATATGGGTACAGTGTTGCATGGCCCGCGCAGTTGTCATTCAAAGTGTGATAGCTCTGAAAGCTGAAAATTGGCCTGGACAGGAAGGGGGTAAAAGTGTCCGGACAGGAAGTGGTTAATGCATTGTATGTAGGTAAAAAAAAAACGACTGGGCGTAGCAGCCCCCCCCCCCATATTCCCCATTGTAATCACCTGAGTCCCTTTTCAATCCAACAATGTGCATGAAAGCCGCGGCTCCCCAGGGTCTCTCTCTACTCACTGACTCACACAGCAGCGGGAGCCATTGGCTTCTGCTGTCATCCGCAGCCAGTGAGACAATGACTCCCACCCACCTTCTAACTACTCTATAGAAGGAAGTTGCATATAATTACCATTGTTGGCTGTCCTCTCCCCAGAGACTGCCCTGAGATTAGGTAAGTATATGCATCCTCTTTCTACAGGGTAATTAGAAGGGGGGTGAGAGCTGTTTTTTGGCTTTCTTAGTTAGAGCCTGGAATTCAACTTTACGGGACAGTTCTTTCAGTAGAAACGCAGTGTATATATATATATAAATATTGAAATATATTTTGAAATATATTGAATATGGCCAAAATTGGAGCATTTCAAATATATATCAATATATTTGGTAAGAATACTGTATTTTAAAAATATATTTCAAACATATTTTTCTTCCATGTGGGAGGGAGAACATGCAAACTTCATGCAGGTATTGCCATGGTTGGGATTTAAACCGATGACCCCAATGCTGCCAGGCAGAAGTGTTAGCCACTGAGCTCTTTTTTTTTATTATGTAAAGTAATAATAAAAATCAGTTTCCCCTACTTTATGTAAGGGAGAGGGGAGTAGAAAACACATGCAAATCACCTGCCTGTTTTTACCGCCCCACTACAGCCCATGTGAACGAAGCCTTACACTTTTTTAAATTTTTCAAGCACAGCAGCAGTTCCGGATGTCCAGTCAGAATGGGGAGGCTTAGCTTTCTTTTCTGTGCATTGTCTACAGCCCATCTCGCGTATCTCTGGCTAAAAAGAGCATTTATGTATCCTCCCTGGCAAAAAAAGTTGGGATCATTTTCCCTCCAGTCTATGGGGTTGATGTATTAAAATTGGAGAGTGCATAATCTGGCACAGCTCTGCATAGAAGCCAATTAGCTTCCATTTTTTTTGGTCAAAGCTTGATTGAAGAAGCTGATTGGCTGCCACGCACAGCTGCACCAGAATTTGCACTCTCCAGTTTTAGTAAATCAACCCTTTTGTCTTATGTTGACAAGCCAAGCATTGGATTAAATGACTCTAAATAATCCCCTCCCTCTTAGATTGTAAGCTACCAGGATCAGGGCCCTCCTATCCCTCTTGTATTGAACTGTATTGTTGCTGTATTGTCTCCCGTTATATTGCAAAGCGCTGAGCAAACTGTTGGGGGCTATATAAATCCTGTATAATAATAATAATATAAATCCTGTATAATAATAATAATATAAATCCTGTATAATAATAATAATATAAATCCTGTATAATAATAATAATATACATCCTGTATAATAATAATAATATAAATCCTGTATAATAATAATAATATACATCCTGTATAATAATAATAATATACATCCTGTATAATAATAATAATATAAATCCTGTATAATAATGTAAGCACTCAGGTTTTCTGTTAGTTATATGTAGCCTAAAATGCCGGCTACAAGAGTCCAATACTAAACACAGGACCACAGCAAATTAAATGTGTCTGGTTTACAGGAATAGGGAACTTCTGGACAAGTATTTTGTATGATGGATTTTTTTTTATAATTTATTTTATGAATTGTTTTACACTTACACGTGTTTTTCTTTTTCAGCCTCTGTGTTTACTTGCCTTGCCATAGCCCTGGGATTTTACCGACTCTGGAAATAGTAAAACAGACTACGACTAGTTAAACCTGTCACTTTGCAGTAGACATTTTCCTGATAAGGGGGGGCGTTCTGTGCGCATTTCCCAAACTACGATCAAATGTATTGGCTTTGCAATCTGAACTGCATATTCCAGATGAGGTCTTACTAATGATTTGTACCGGGGTAATATGATATCTCTCTCTCTGGAGTCTATACCTCTTTTAGTACAAGAAAGGATGGGGTCATGGCTCTGCTCCCACCATCAGTATATCCTACAGGAAATAGACAGCAACCAGCCATGCATATTGGATCCAGACACTGGGGAGCTTAGTGAAATTTCACTCTACAAACACATGTTCACATCTAATGCACTTCATGCCTATAGGGGGAGGGAGTGGGCATGCATTAGATGCCGACTGTCCCTCAGAAAATAGTTAAACACCAGGAGAATGCATAGCAGCTTATTGTCTTCCCCTCCCAGGGTGACCAAGGAATGTGTTGGCAAGGGATGTGGAAGAGCCTATAAAAATAAAAACCTTCTCCAACTTTAAACAGTCAGATGAGATCAACTCTGAGGGTCCATTCACAGAAGTGCGCATGCATTATGCTCTACATAACACATGCCAACTGGTTTTTGCTGCAAGGAGGTTTTTCTTTTATGTTCCAAATGTTCATATTTTCCATTGTGCAGCACTTAGAAATAATACATGTAAAAACAAATGAACAAAAAAAAACAACAAACTGTAACCAGAAAGAGTCCATTTTCCCAACTGTCTGTGCAAACAATAAAAGAATCCAAGAAAGGAATGTGCAACAGCATTAATCTTCCACCATATATACGTCAGAAGACCCTTCACACACCGTATGTTCATCCTCTGTGCACACAGGGTAACGTAACAAAACACATGTGAACATGTAAGAAGATATGGTGAAACAGCACTCTATGCATGCAGCCATTAAGCCTTCAAAAAGATCTTGTAAAAGGTGACACATTCACTCCAGAGATCCAGGCAAAATAGATCACATAGCTTTACTACACTATGAGAGTTTTCTTCCAACTCCCATATTTACTAATTAAAAATGCACACTTGCATAGCTATAAATGTAAAATGCAGTAAAACTGCTTATCCGCTGTCTGTTTTGGAATGCCGGTATTGGTGTGTATGGTGACGTCACTTCCGCTAGCCCAACCCAACGTGTTTCGTCACAGCAGACGTTATCAGGGGGATGGTATTTGAGGCTCTGTTATACTGTAGTTTATATTTACAAATGTGAGTGTGAAACCTCTGAAATCATTCAGGACTGAAAAAGATCCCTGCCTTCCACTTCTGTAACATCGGGACTACAAAAATTGGAGCAAATAAAACTGGATAGGCTGCCATGGGCAAATTTTTTTTCTTTTTATCTTTCATTGTACACTATGCATTTTGTGCAAAACACTTGCTTCCTACTATCTCCATTTTCTTTCTGCTGCAAAGTGACAGGTTCTCTTTAAAGGAATGTATTCTACAAGTGCTACGTTCTCATAAATGGCAGCTGTAATGTCACAGTCATTCTGGCGGTGCTGAGTTTGCACAGATCCTTATTGCCTCAGTACATGGACATCAGGAAGACAGACATCTGAACGCACAATGTTATGTCTTTTGATTGCTTTGACTCCATGCTGATTGGTTGTCTGTCACACGCTGTGACACTGCTCTACAGCCGATCAGAGAAGCGGTATAATGTATAGTCGCAATATTGTTCATACCTGTTATGAAGTGCCTTTCTGTGTGTTTGTAAGTCATTGTTTTATATTATTCTATTAAACTCATTGAATGTTGCCTTTGTGTGAGTTGCTTTTGTGTCATGTCTTTTCCCATATGGCTGAAACCAAGAAAATGATATTGAGCTTTGTGCTAGACCATTGGCCTCCAAACTACAACCCTTTGCTTGTTTTTATCTGGCCATTGGGGCACTCTTCCTCCCACCCACTGACACCATCGATGAGGCACTATTACTCCCACTGACACCCAACGATGAGGCACTATTCCTCCCACTGACACCCATCGATGGGGCAACTGTTCCTCCCACAGACACCCAACGGTGGGGCAACTGGTCCTCCCACAGACACCCCACGATGGGGCAGCTATCCCTCCCACTGATACCCAACGATGGGACACTATTCCTCCTCCAACTGACCACAGTTGCCATATAACTTATATACTCCCAGTGATCACCAAGTCTAAGACATTGTTTACTTCCACTGATGCCTGGGCATTTGCAGCTCTCACTGTCCACAGACTGGCCCTCCTGCAGTCTGAAAGATAGTAATCTGGCCCTTTGTTTGGAAAGTTTGAGGACCCCGGTGTTAGACAACAGGCTACCCATTACAAACAGTGCAGTTCCACCCATCAGTCAAACTTTTCCATCCACCAGTGGCTTGCCTTATCTGCCAGGGGGTTGCCTGTAACCCGTAGTCTTTGGTATTCCTACAACATACAACTAAAACAATAAAGAACAATTGTGACCTGACATTATGTGCACTTACAACTAAGTTCTATCCTGACTTGAGCTTGCTGTAATATGAGGTCATATTGTTTTGTCATGCTTCCCAGCATGCCTTTCAAGTCTCTGTGGTTTGGTTGCGGAGTGGCTTTCTTCTTCTCCTTATACCCTTCTGTCAGCTTCACCCCCAAAAAAGTGAAAAAGTCAACTTCCCTAACACCTGCAAAAAAAAAAAAAATGCAGCATTGATTACAATACCCAGGTTCTCCCTCGTGCTGTCCACCATCAGCCTACTACCCCCTACTTCTAGGTTGAATTATGCTCAGCATCATGCAAAACTTTTTTTGATGCCCAGACTGCCGCGGCCAGACCCCTCTGTGGCCCTCTGGACTACAGAAGGACAAGTCTTCATACAGTCTGCCTTGAGCTTTGGAGATTGGAGTATCTGGGCCTGACTCTTGACTGTCTTGGTGAGCAAGCTCTGGCAGCTTCTGACTGCGGTTCAACTACTCTTGTCCCAGGTGCTGCCCTCCCGGTGGTCTTGCATGTGGACACTGGGTCCTATGGTATATGCCTAGGTGATTCCGTGGGTGCAGTTCCATGTGAGAATTCTGTGGAGAAAAATCCTGTCATGCGACGAATCTACAGGCTCCCTAGACGACCAGTTTAATCTGGAACAATCGACGCGGGCCTTCCTCCAATGGGGGTTTTGTTCACCTGTCCTGCAAGCCGGGCAATCATCAATATCCTGGAGCTGTGAGTGTTCAGGTTGCCTCGGGTGCACTGGACTAACCTTTGTGGGCTCCCAGTTATGATCCTTTCAGACAAGACCTCCACTGTGACCTACACTATATTGCCAAAAGTATTTGTCGGCCTGCCTTTACACACACATGAACTTTAATGACATCCCAGTCTCAGTCCATAGGGTTCAATATTGAGTTGACCCACCATTTGCAGCTATAACAGCTTCAACTCTTCTGGGAAGGCCGTCTACAAGGTTTAGGAGGGTGTCTATGGGAAGGTCTGACCATTCTTCGGAAAGCGCATTCAGGCACTGATGTGAGACGAGGAGGCCTGGCTCACAGTCTCCACTCTAGTTCATCCCAAAGGTGTTCTATCGGGTTGAGGTCAGGACTATGTGCAGGACAGTCAAGTTTCCCCACCCCAAACTCACAAAGTTGGTAGGATAAAATTGTCCAAAATGTCTTGGTATGCTGACGCTTTAAACAGTTTCCTTCACTGGAACTAGGGGGCCAAGCCCAACCCCTGAAAAACAACCTCACACCATAATCCCCCCTCCACCAAACTTTACACTTGGCACAATGCAGTCAGGCAAGTACTTTTCTGTTAACAGCCAAACCCAGACATGTCCATTGGATTGCTAGACAGAGAAGCGTGATTTGTCACTCCAGAGAACATGTCTCCACTGTAGCATCCAGTGGCAGTGTGCTTTACACCAGTACATCCAACGCTTTGCATTGCACTTGGTGATTTAAGACTTGGAGCCTTAGCGGCTGTTGGCTAGCAGTTGTCAATGAACTACCACGGTGCTGTGGTATATCCCGTACAGGCAAACAGATTTACTGACAGGTCTGCAGGAGATCTTCATGGCACCAGCGATCTTCTGATTGCTGGTGCAATGCTTTACAGGCTCCTGCAACCAAAAATAATAAATGCACATTTTTTTTTCCTGCAAAAAAATGAAATGTGCATTTATTATTTTTGGTGAAAAGGTGAGCTAATCTGTGCTGTTCTCATATTTGTTATTTAACTGTGCATTGTATCACCAATTCTTATTTCACCACATTTGTTTCTATATATTGATCTGTTGCTGCCATCTGCTGGCCAGAATTTGCATGCTGCATGCCTCTGCTTTTGCTAGTAAAGTTTTTCCTCTGCTGGGTGTGGTTTTAGGCAAGCCTTGGTTCTGGTCACTTCGTGCAGTCATTTTTTTGTGCTTTATAGCTGTGTGACAGGACATTCAATACCCTGGGCTTGTGAAGGCATCAGTTTTTGACCAGCAGTTAGCCTCAGGAAAGATATCACAGCACAGCATGAATACCTCTCTACTACATTACAGTATTGTATCACTGTTTGTCGCTGTATTATGGACCAAATAAACCCACGCTGATTTCCTTCCCTTATATACATTTGGATCCATCTAACCTGAGCATCTGCCGGTCCGGTCTGCTCCACTGCTTGGATACCAAGGTAGGAAGTTACACAGCCATTATCAGTTATACCTTCATTCGCCTTCATGTGGGGACAGAACATAATCCTTTAAAGTTATCTAAAAAGATCTTTGTTGTCAGTTGTGACTTACCCAAGAGTCAGAAATTTGCTATCACTCAACAAACTCCCAGAAAGTTCTGGCAGAACCCTTGATGAGAATGGCCGGTCTAGATTCATCACTCAACATACCATAACAGTTTAAAGAATAAACATTTCATTTTTGTAGTGGACTTGTCCCCTGGTGCGTTTTTTGGGGGGGGGGTTCAAATCTTTTCAATGCTATCCCACCTATTTGAAATGCCA